GAGGTGAAATTCGATCGATTTCAGCTAACATTATCCTTCCATTAATTTAAGTAGTTTAGCGCCAGGAGTTTGATTACCCTTACATCGATTAACTTGATCCCCGTTTCCAGGTTTTCAGTGTTCGAGATTGAGATCTGGCCAAGTTACGGAGATATAAATTAAGTCACAACTGACCATTCAGCCCTCTCTGAGGGCGCTTGTTGCTGCGACGCACACGCGGACTGAAATTCCATACAATGAAATTATAGAGCAAAGGAGGGATAAGGTTCTCACGACAGTTTACGCTGCGCTTTGTGCCGCATGAGGGCTTCGGGATAAGAGCTGGAGCCCTAAACAAGAGTTGATTGTCAGTCTAGTATCTTCTGTAACATTTCGGTTGTCGTATTTCGATTGTCCGTGCAGCTACACAGGCTGACAGAAGGCTAGGATGTACAAGGAAATTTGATGAACCCTCTGACGTGAAGGCCAGTTATCACAGCCCGCAACCTTTGCTTGTGTGACTACGAGCCGAAAATAGGACACTTCGCCAGGCGCATGACACTGCCCTCTGATGTAAAATGAGGCAAGCGAAATTTTGACCGCCCGCCCACATAGGCCCTTCTCCGTAGTCATCTTCGGATTTTAAAAGGCAGTCTGGTTCGGTGCTCCCTTATTTACTAATAAGGAGTTCCCGTATTATTTGGAGAGCACGGGCGGACAAATAGGACATGATGTGTGCTTTGCGCTCAGTTATTAGCACCTATTCATATTTTATTAACGCCAAAATGGTATGAAATGTGGCATGAGATACTCGTAGAAGTATGAAGGGTGTGGTTAGTCCTAACAATAGCCTAGATCGACAAACACCATTGCCATGCAAAAAGGACTTGTGGTCCGACCACATATCATCAGACATAGGTTTGTTCACATGTTTATACTAGACCTGCCCGCTTGCGGTCGTATATTCGACAGACATTTCAATTCTGATGTGTATCAGATATGGATAATTTGGGATTCGATCCCCGGTTCTTCGGTGTCTGAGCGTAAGTCTGACGCTTTACTATGTATCTACGGGCCGCTTATCTTATCGTATCTTATCTTATGCGATTGCTGGAACAAGAAGTTTATTTGCTTGACGTTTTAGAATCTGTCGAGAACCCTTTCTCAAAGGTAGCCGTAGAATAGTATGATACATGCACAGATTACGCGATATTTATAGTTCGTAGCGGCCACGCGCATGCGCAATAAAATCGCTAGCTCCCGTAACCAAGTTTAACAAGGCCGAAATCCTCTAAATTGGTCACAACCGGTTGAGCCGTGTGCTGCTCGAATCATAATTCTCAGACCCACTGTCAATCGCCAAGCGTACCGAATTGCCGTTCTCATACTCCGTATTGGGACATTGCCTGAGCAGCAGAATCAGTCAATTGGGAAGAGCCGGGCGCAGCAACAACTCTGACGACAGTGAACATAATTGTTGCATAATTATCAAGCCCGCATCCTACACGGACAGCGAAATCGCAGCAATTAATGTCTCAGAGGCGAACTGCCAAGTCATTACCGCACCAATTACGATTCCCAAGCGATGGTTACGGGAGCTAATAATTTTGGGACGCGTGCGGGTGGCCACTACGAACTATACATATTGCACAATCTGTGTGTATATCATCATAATAATTGCA